CGTGCCAGAAAACGTTAATTTGTTGATAAATGTGTCATGTTGTAACGTAATTAAGGTTGAAAGAGAGACGATATTAACGTTAAGATTTTCATAATAATTAATGAACTGGTCGGCGAAATTTGGTCTACGCGAAGACGTAATTTCAACGTATTTACTATTTCGCTTAAAACGTCATAAATATGAAACTACGGACTGCGTGCTGTTAATAAGATGCGTTTAAGACATAATAATGCGGGCAGGTTCAAACATTACTTGTAAACACGTAACTCCGCTGACATCTGTAACGCGCATGCGCGAGTTCTTAGACGCCTGCAGAGCTCCGAGCGGACGCAGCACGAGGCGAAGTTACGGCAGCAGAGCGACATGAACGGGCTGAAAGAACCACGACTACCGGCTCCAATGCTCTGTAAGTACGGGAGTGTTTGAATGAAGCACACCTGGAACTATAACCGGGTGTTTTACTTGTGCTGCTCACCCGATACAGGAAAGACGGCCCTTTTTGTTAAGCTAGTTAGCGTTAGCGCAGGTAGTTTGCTAGTTAGCATGCTAGCGTGCAGCATGATGACCTGGACCAAAAGTAAACATTCCAGAATATTTTTCGTGTGTTTGGTGTTACTAATGCGTTAGGTTGTTGCTGTACCCATAAATGTTATTGCATTTCACACTGAAAATACGTTTTTAAAGCAATGGGGGCTAAATACAGATTGCAAGGGTGAAGGGCTGAATTCAACAAGTTGTGCTCTGTAAACAAGAGGGCCAACACATTGTAAGTTACTGCTGCTTAAAGCATGATACTGTGTAATATACCTGGACATGTTACTCCAGAAATACCATAAGTTGCAGATGAATTGTTATCTTGTTGATAATGTAATAAGTGAACAATCTATAAATGAGTGTTCTAACACACCTGCTGCTGCTGTTATTATTATTATTAGTTTATTACTGTCATCATAAACCCAAATGACCAACTTTGCCGTTGTGCTTCCCTCCTCACAGGTTTCTGCGGGTGGTGGTTGCATCTGATGGAGGTTACGTCTGATGATGGTTGTCCCTGCACTGGTCCTGCCTTACCCCTGGCTTAGTAATCAATATACAATATTAGAATCATTTCTGTCGTAGGAATTGGATGTACTGTACATCTGTAAATTGTTCATACTCTACACACCTTCGGCCTTGCTGTTTTCTCCTCAGGTTTCTCCCGGTTGAAGGTTTTTTACATGTTGGGGGTTTTGGGACAGGATGTTGCATGTTTACAGATTGCAAAGCTGAACAAAATAAAATGATTTGAATTGAATAAACACGTTGACCAGAGAAATCTGCAATTCAGGGGTCAAGTGAGGATGACGGAGATGCAGCTGATTTCAGGTATACTATCCCAACTCAAGTGACTCAGACCCACATCTTGTTACAGAATCTAAAAATGAAGTTCAAATGATTCAGAAAAATGGTCTACAAACACAGAATTGTTGTTGTTGAACACAGAAATGTTGTTTCTGCACTTTTAAATCCATAGTTTATTTCCCTGAAATATATATTTTATTTTTGTATTGTTTTTAATTAGGAAAAGTGTTATATGTATAGTGTTATATTTATAATAAATGCAAATGAACAAAATAATGTGTTTGTCCTTGTTAAGGGCTGTTAACATGACAACTGTGACTAAGTATGTAACTTGTAAGTTTGCAGCGAGCAATTGATCCGTTGAAACAACGTTTAAAAGACGTCTATGGCCCGACGTTGAAAAGAGGTTGCAAATTGGTTCAAAAGTGAAAGTTGTTTCAACATCTATTCGTAGACGTTAAAAAGACGTTTATGTTTAGACCACATTTCAACCAGCGAGCATTTCAACGTTGAAAAGACGTTTAAAAGACGTCTATGGCCCGACGTTGAAAAGACGTTGCAAAACGGTTTAAAAGTGAAAGTTGTTTCAACGTCTATTCGTAGACGTTGAAAAGACGTTCGCGTATAGACCCGTTTTCAACGTGATTTATAATATCGGTGGTAAACTTACAAATGTGGACGTAGTTTCTTTTTAAATCTCTAAAATAATGATATAGCACACAAGAGAGGACGAAATATTACCGTATTAAAAAATCACGTTGAAATGTGGTCTAAACATAGACGTCTTTTAAACGTCTACGAATAGACGTTGAAACAACTTTCACTTTTAAACCATTTTGCAACGTCTTTTCAACGTCGGGCCATAGACGTCTTTTAAACGTCTTTTCAACCAAAAAATGCTCACTGGGCCCCTCCACACTCCAAAGCGCGCTGTTTATTTTTACTGTATCCCAGCACCTCTCCAAGAGCTGCACAAGTCTAGGAATCGAAAATACGATTTTTAAGGAATCGGTATCCACTAAACCATAGTTAATTTATTTATTCCCAAACTTCAGCGCCCTTCGATTCCTTTGGTTACTCGCTCCCGTGTCTCCTGCTCTTCTTCTTAAGAAGAAACTCGACAATAGGCGGGAATATGACGCAAGTTGCTGAGATGGCGAAACTTGGTGTTACACATATACACTAAAAAAAGAAAACAACCCGTTTACCACAAATTAAAAATAAATCTTATCTCACAATTCCATGCTATATTTGCATTGGAAAATAAAAGTGGTGTACATGGTAGTCCATAAAGTATTACACTAAAAAATAAATAGAAATAGATAAAGTCGTTTATCAGCACTGTTTTTTTGCAAATGTTTGGTTGGTTAGCCGTCCACCACTTTGCTCTTAACTGTAAAATCTCAAATACTTGATGGGGTTCCATGACATTTAAGCATTCAAGCCCCCTAAAGATGAATAATACCACAGAAATTAATTATAAATAGTGATCAAATAAAATACAGACCAACTTCAGAAATATACAGACCTTTATTTACATTTGTTTTGCATTTGCATAGACACTTAAGATTTAAAAATAAAAGTTATAGAATATTAAAGTAAACATATTCAGGAAATGTTATTTCAGGCCGCGTAACTTAGCACAAGTGAACTTTGTTCACCAGTCAGGATTGAGGCATCTATTTTGTATAAACACACATAAGTAAGATCTCTCTTCCCTCCAAGAGGTGGAAACATTACATTACATTACATTACAGGTCATTTGGCAGACGCTTTTATCCAAAGCGACTTACATTACACTTTAAACCCATGGCTTTTTTCAGCACACCTGCTGCTTCACAGCACACCTTCTCTAACCCCTGCACCACGACGACCCCACGTTTTAGATTGCTAAGCAGCCGGCACAATCAGTTTGCATTATTACACTCATCATCATCATCGTCATTATTATTATTACGTCATTATAATCATGGCTATCAGTATCTCAACCATCATCACGGTCATCAACAGTAATCTTTGGTTCATCATTTTCGTGGTAATTATATCAATGTCATGATTATTCTTCCCGATGCCTTGAGTGTTCATCGTCACCTGGGCTGGTAAGACAGACAGCGTTATAGTTTTATAAAAAACAATATGCTGCAGGCACATTTTGGTGCAGTTTTAGCTCAATCCGGTGAAAACACAGCCTCATACTTGATGATTTAATGTTATTGTTGCACTGAATATTAAGAAAAAAAACTACACAAATGAAATAATGTCACTGCATTATTATTACTAAAGTCATCATTTGCATGTTATTTTACAGAGCGTAGGAATGCATGCACACGGATATTATGTAAATGGGAGTCTTTTCTTAAAGCTAGAAAAGTGGATAGGAAGGGTTTTTCAGCCGTTGTAGTACATTCAGACTTGGCCTGACTGACTGATGTATGTAAATGGTTTTGATGCAGTTTGATCTCCTTCAGTTGTCAGGTTGTTCAGAGGAAACTTTCTGAAGATCCGCCGGTCGCGATCAAGACCTCCTGCTGCCCGGTCAGATGGTTCATCCATCGTCATCCTGCTGAGGTCTGCAGGGCCAATAAAAAATGATCCCTGAGATCCCCACAACAGGATGTCTGACAGGCCGGCCTCATGCCCTCAGCTCTGTCCCTCTGATGCCACGACAACACACTGCAGACATTCATCTTCATCAAAACAGCCATTTTCTCACCGTCCAGCCAATGAGAAAACATCTGCTCACGCCGGGAACGTAACACTGCTGCTATTAACCCTCCTGTTCTAATTCAAATGCATTTTACAAAATATTATTTCTACATCTTTATTGTACCACGCATGACAAAAGAAAAGAAAACGGAGGATGCATTACCAAAGACTTGCAAAAATATATCTTCAGTGGTTAAACATCAATGGATAAAAACAATATTAACATAACATTAGTGCCCTGGAGTAAGATTTCACTTTTGCAGCTTTACTGATAATTAATAAATTAGTCATTTAGCATGTTGTAATATTTGAAGACAGATTTTTTTCACAGCTGTTTCCAAAAACTACAGCAAGGAAAAAAAGGAAGGGAACATCTGTAGCATGTTACAATACCTGAGCGTGACCGAGACTGAGTCTCTCCACACACACTCACACTTTCTCTCATCACATCAGTTTCTCCTCCATCTTCCACATTCAACAACCACATATCACTTCCTTTTCCCTCAGTCTTCCTCTCACGGAATCTTGGACAGTGCGTTTGTGTGTGTGTGTTTGATCTAAATTTCGGTCTAAATTCCTTGGTGTGACGAGGCGATGGCAATATATAGATCGCCTCATCACACCAAGGAATTTATATTTATATATATATATATATATATATTTAAAAGGGCGTTGCCAATTGGGGTCCATCGCTCAGACACACTTCTTTGCTAAATAAATAAAAGTGGCACGGAAAGGCTTCGGCGACGATGCGTACTGGTCGACACAAATCAAACTGCAGAGAATGTTTTGCATGCTGACATGAGATGGATGCGTGGGTTCGTCAGACTCCTTAATAGTGGAATGTCCTCCATGGTTTTGGAAAACTGTGGCGGTGGAAATTGAACCAACGGGTGTCCCGGTGGTTACAGCATGTGGGCTGGTTGCTAAGTAGGGCGGTTGATAAGTCCTACGGCCCTTTTAGGAGAGCTGCTTCTGTGTTAGTACTTCTCATTGGGGATGACTGTGTTGAAGGGGTGGTCCCAGAATGTGGAGGTGATGCCAAAACCTGGAAAGAGATCACATCGGAGCTTTATATAGATCAGACAAAAACAAAAGGCATTTAATCGGCCGCCCTATTTGTCTGACGAATGTCCGGCTTCCAGCGCTCACCTGCTCTCTGGTGCTCAAAGTGGTGTTTGACGTGGTAGGCCTTCAGGCCGTACATGTACGAGCCCCTCTTGGGGGAACCGTAGTGAAGGTAGTAGTGGATCATGTCGTACATGACGTAGCCACACAGACCTCCGACGAACACGGACGTACCGAGGATCTCTGGGAGCGTCCTGCAGAGGATCAGATAGAAACTCCCCACCACCAGGGAGGCCAGGCCGGGGGGGAAGACCAGCCGAGAGCCGTCAAACGGAGACTGCGGAGAGACACATGGCGCACGAAGACGAGGATGAGGCAAACGGAAGCCTCTGGGTTTACAAACTATTGATTGACATCCAGAGCACAAAAAAGTTGCAACTCAACAAAGGGAATAAACTAATAAATACTTCTGAGCTAATGATGAACCGGTTTTATAGAGCTTTGCTCAGCCTCGCAGTGGTCCCTACCTTGTGGTGTTGTCCGTGCAGGAGGAAGTGTATCGTGATAAGGTAGTAGTTGTGGGCCGGCGGTTTCATGTGAAAGACAAAGCGATGGATGCAGTACTCGATGAACGACCACAAGAACCAGCCCAGCAGAAAGAGCAGAGGGAAGCAGTACTTATGGATCGGGACAGAGATGCCTGGCAACAAAGAGAGCGACGTCGATGCACGCACGCGACAGGTGGACGTGAAAGAGACAACGAGGTGGGCTTTTGTGTGAGCGTTGGCAAATGAGTTGTGCAAATAAAATTATGAAAGTGAGCAAAAGTCTCTTGTGCTTTTTGAAAACCGTGTACCATGATATCATCGTTGTGCGTCTGTGTGTGTGTGTGTGTGTGTGTGTGTGTGTGTGTGTGTGTGTGTGTGTGTGTGTGTGCGTGTGTTACCTGAAGTGAGGTTGAGTCTGGTGGTGCCCTCACCCAGGGTGGTGTAGCAGTACCAACTGAAATAGAAGACGACAGGAAGCCACAGCACTGGCACCCAGTACCTGCAGCCAGAGAGCATACAGCGACATACTGTCGTTAGTTTGGACTTACCGTCTAACTAACCGTCATATCATGTCACGTTGGGGGTGATGCAACCTGTTTGTATCTATCTAATTATATCAATCGCAATTACAGTAAATTGTAAATGTATTCCTAACGCAGGGTTATTCTAATGTAACGGTAATACAATGGATTGCTTTAAATTACTTAAGAATATTTTGAGTTTGCACTGTGCAGCTGAAGAATGTCGGATCTGGATCGTATGTAATATGCATACTTTTTCCTTTTCTCTATGTATTTTTGATCATTCATTTCCTTTTTTCATCAATATAAAAGACAAGACAACGTCTCCTACCAGGAGGTCTTGGTGCCGGCCTCCAGCAAGGGGTTTCCGAACAGCCTGATCGGTCTGTCGACCGGCTGGTGAACCCACGCGTCATACTTCTCTCCCAGGTGGCCTACCTGCCATGCCAGAGGCTTCCGCCAGTCCACCAAATCCTGCACAGACACAACCGCTGAGACGTCAGTACAACGGATTCTGTTCACATTTAGGAGTGTGCTGTAGAAAGCACACAGGAAGCAGTGATGTAACAGAAACCTGCATCATCCAGCAGGAGACAGCAGAGAGTCAAAGGACTGGTGAAGTGCTCTTTGTCAAACCAGGAAGAAACTGTTGGTGGGTTGTGGAGGGACCATAAAACCAGAATTTGAGATACTTGGGTTAAAAAGAGACCGTGTGTGGACAGACAATGCAGAAAGTCACATCGATCTGTGGTCAGTTTTGTCATGTCTAATGGAAAGATTAGTAAAACCATGACCACTGGGGGAGAGATCCCATTAAACCCGGAGAGACCACGTGAGCTTAATGTAATCCCAAACATCTTGGCGCGATGTGGCACTTCCCCTGGTGGCAGCCGGTCAGCTGGCCAGTTATCAGCATCGGAGAGTCCCACCTTTGTTCTTTATGGCCTTCGTTCGTTCAGGAAAAACTGATTCCGTTTGGCAGCTTGTTCTGCTTTCTGTGATGATACTAAGTCACACTGTAAAGTGACCACAACCAAAGGTCAATACCAAAAGATCTTCCACCTAAATGCGTTCATATCGACTCTTTCGTTGGTGCTTCTTAGAAAAAGTATTTACACAATGAGATTTTTGATAAGGTATCTTCAGCGATTTATTGATGACAGCTGTAACAGGCTGGGTCAGAAAAAGACATCTTGTTAGTGTAAATGTCTTTGATCATACTACAAGATATCTTATATTGCTATGATTTACACAATTATGATACAAAAACACAAACAAAATGTATCCATCCATAAGTTATTTTCTATAACAGCTTTGCACTAAGGCCTCCATTGCAGAGCTGCAACATGAGTACCGAGCTCAGTGCATGTTTATATGCTATGTAGTATTATTATTAATTAAGTACACTGATACACTGACATAATTTACTGATAAGAATGTCAGACTAATACCTGTAAGTGTGGGTTGTTTGTACCATTAAAGTCATGTAGCAGCAAGTAATAACAATTTAAAAACAATGGGATTACAGCAAAGTAAAGGAGCATTAAACCATTTGTGAAACAGGGTGTCACATTCCTCAGGGCGACTGCGGGTGAGTGGGGAGCACGGTCGTCCTCCAATCAGAGGCTTGTCGGTTCAATCCCAGGCTCTGCTAACCCGCATGGCGATGTGTCCTTGGGCAAGACACTTAACCCAACATTGCTCCTGTAGCTGCGACTACAGTGTGTGAATGTTAGTTACTGATGGGCAGGTGTCACTGTGTATGGTTCTCCTGTCATTAGTGTATGAATGGGTGTGAATGATGTCATGTACTGTTAAAGCACTTTGAGTGGTCGGAAGACTAGAAAAGCGCTACACAAGTACAGTCCATTTACCATTTAGATATGCTCAGAGAAAATGTGAAAAGACACATCGGAGGACAAGACACAGAAAAGGAAAAAAAATACCAAATAATGTGAGATTCCTGTTTTACCAATTTGCCTTTGCATCGCGGCCAGACCACAACACGTGCCTCGTGCATCTGTCATGCGGCTCTGATTATGGAAATCCCACCTGGGATGGGAAGTGCGAGTGATCCACAGGATTTACTACACGGAGACACCTGGGATTAGATAGACAGTGTCGCTGCTGTAAACCCCCGTGAAGCGCGGACCGGTTGCACTGATGCCTGCCCCGGAAACGCTGTTTTTTTTAATTATGTGAAGACAGCATCTTGTCCCGGGTTATTATCATACTTCTTTAATGGAAGAGGGGCTGTTTCTAAGTGCTCTTTTATGTTTGCTCATACTTCTTCCACCAAAGAAATATGAATAAACTGAATTCTGTATTATCCACCGCAGAGTAGAGATGATCACACACACCCTCATCTCCTTTCATTTTGATTATTGTAACGCACTTTTCTCCTCACTCGGTGCTTTGATCTCCTCACTGGCATTTAGGAGATAGGCTACGGTCACACTCCTGCATAGGAGGCTGACACACTTGGCCCTTATTTACCAGCCCGTGCTCCCATGTAAAATTCTCTTCTGTTCATTATACGCACTCACCTCAAGACCCCTGGTGACTGAGCGTTAACTATGCAACGCTCTGCTTATGCCCTATGGTTTGCTAAGTCTGAGATTTCATGTGAGAATCAGCTCAAAACTTTGTTCCCTGTCCTGTTCAGACTGGCGTTTGGGTCAAATCAATGCTGTGAGCCGGTTTCAATCAATATTTTTATTCACCATTTCAATGGGCCTTCATAAAAAAGGTTTGGTGCTCTTGGACATTATTGGCCCTGTTATGGTCACATTGTGTTATTTTTGTTTTCTTCTCTGTGACCTCTGTCTGTGAAAAGTGGAACACGAATGAATGTTCCTTTCTTACTTGAGTGTACAAACCGGGACGGTTTAGGAATGACACGGGGTGAATAACCCGATGACTGTTCACTCTTTTCCACCAGCCCCATGACCAGGACACACACACAGACACAAAATCACGCAAAGAGATGCTGTGAGTCTCTCACAGAGACAAACACACACAGCGACACACACCTTGTTCAGGTCCACTGGGCTGCAGCGGTTGTAGTCAGCGTTCTCGTCCTCCTCAGTCACGCGCTTGCCTGTCCTCTCGTCTCCCGTCTCTCTGACCGTCTGCTCGCCGGCCTTCCTCCTCGCTCTCACGGTCTGCAGGGACAAAACCAGGCAAGAAGCGGGATGTGAGTTACAGCAGAAAAGTAGACGAGGTGGACAAGCCCTTTTCCCTTCAGTCATTTCAGTCCTGTATAGAGACGGATGTGTCTCTGAGTGGGGGTGCAGGATTAGAGCAGGCAAAAGGAAGGATGGCGTCATAGTCATAATTCAATCAAACACCCGAGAGCTCCATTTCCTGCCCCCATCCGATAAAGCTGCTCTGTACCTATAAATCACAGTTTACATGCATATGCTCTATATAATATAAAGTGTAAAATCAAGAGACACGCCCACGTGTTTTTGTAACGTATAAATGATTATTAAGCATCGTTAACAGGAATTGTCTGCGGGTCTGGCGGGTCGCTGCCATCGTGACGGGGGCCGAACGATGGGCTCAGTAATCTGCCAGCGCCGCAATCCACCCCCAAAATAAGACGGAAAAGGTGTTGTGTTCACTTCCTACATCGTGTTTATGGGTACGTTGATTCACAAGGGACAGTTTTTTTCCAGAGGGACCTTTAGTCGCCGCGTCGGATGCTCAAAGGTTGAGGCAACATGTGACACGCACACTTCAACACATAGCACTTTACGATCCTCAATCTTTGAACCTTTTCAATCTACGGCCCGTCAGTGTCCACGGGTAGAGGCCCTAAACACGATCAATCATTGATCCCACTCAATGCGACAGCAAGATATTATCCTAGCTTTGGCCCTAGTGTGGCCCCCGCGGAGAGAAAACCCCAGTCACACCCACCACATCGCCATCTGTGAGAAAAACAACATGGCGAAACCTTTCCACCGACTTCCACAGGGAGGTTCTCCGCGGGCATATTGGAATGAAGCATTAGCGGCTTTCACACAGTCACTCGCCCTGACAACGAAAGGAAGCGGCAGCTGCTGCAGCTTGGCAGGCCAGTCGGGGAAGATACGAGTGTTTTGAATACAGAATGAAATCTAGTGAATGTACTGTTCAGGTGGACGGACACATTTGAACTGACGAATCAGAGAGTCAGGTAAACAGACAATTCCGTTTGGATATCCTTGTTTGGCTTCCAACAAGGACGTATCCCAAATGGAGCCCTTTCCCATGAAGGTTTGTGGGGCATGCCGGCATAATTTGGGTTTTAGGAGCATTCTTTGGACGCGTGTACAGTGAGTGACGTGTGTGTCTGTGCGTTGTACACAAACCGGACACCAGCACTACGCACAGCTGCACGGTCAAGAGAAAAAGGGTTGTCAGGGAGTGAAAGAAGGTGCTTGTGTTTGCATGCTCTGGCATAATATTACAATATTCACAGCCAAGTAGGAATATTCTCTTACTTGGAATCAGTTAAAGAAAAAGGCATTGAGGTGTGGTCAGTGAACGGTTTCTATATCTGCTTCTCTTTAGTCTTTGACCATGCAACAGTCAAGTGAAAGATCAGCTGGTTGGTTTTCAAGCACGTGCACAAGGGCCCACACACACACACTCACAACTCCATCCAACCCGAACTCGCTCACGGGTCCCTTATGGTTTCTTACCTAGATCAACTAGGCCACAAAACACCGACAGAAGCAACACAATCAAATACAAAAGGGGAGAAAAGTTACATAAAAGAAAAGACCAAACAATGTGTGTATCAGAGCACAAACGTGTTTTAGGGCGATACTATACCAGGTGACACAGAGCCGATACCAAAACAAATCACACAGGGTGGCACAGCTAACTCACAAACACACAGGCGTGACACACCCTCTGTATCAGCAGCGGCCGTGACCTACGTGAATAAGGCTGTGAGCAGCATGCGATTCTGACGTTTAATAAGCTCTTCCCACTTATACACAGTGGACCGGCAAGACAAAAGGTTCACTGGAAGATAAAGGTGCTACAGATATGAGGAGACATTTTACACAACGCTGCTAATGAGAGGGGACAGGAAGGGAAGTTATAAGTTGATATTGTACAAAGAAAATTCCAATTTTTTATGATTAACAATGTCTGGTTCCCCTGTCTTAAGTCCCTACTTTTACATGTCTTTAAACAAAATATGCACAGATCACTACATTACATGTCATTTAGCCGACGCTTTTAATCAAAGCAACTAACAATAAGTACATTTCAACCATAAAGGATAGAAATCCAGAAGAACAAGAAAACTACTACTGTGGCTCCCTCCCTGTTACTCTGACATTACCAAAATGTTTTTTTCTGGCTTATAAAATGCTATCACACATCTGTGTTCAGCCCATGAACGAGTTATAACAACTGCGTACCAATTTGATTAGGTGAAAAGGGTTGATTATGGTCAAAATCTCATATGACTGTGTGTGTGTGTGTGTGTGTGTGTGTGTGTGTGTGTGTGTGTGTGTGTGTGTGTGTGTGTGTGTGTGTGTGTGTGTGTGTGTGTGTGTGTGTGTGTTTGTGTCAGAATCAGAAGCCATTTATTGCCACATATGTTACACAGAGAGGTATTTGACTTGGTGCATTGGTGCAATATGACAATAAAGGCAAGAACTAACAATATAAACACATAAGCACGTTAAAACACATATGTATGTCCATATGTTTCCATGCTGAGAGAAACCACTGTGCAAATCTTTGGGGACGAAGTATTTGGGTCAATGGGGGACACAGACTTGGTTTAAGAGAAAAAACTGTTTCTGGAGGTCCTAATGGACCGCAACCTCCTGCCACAGAGGGAAGGGGCTCAAAGAGTCTGTGGTCACAGACTCATGAACAGTTTGTTCATGAAATTCAGTCACTTCGATAAGGGTGATGATGACACTAGAAAAGGACGCTAAAAGCACAGCTGAAGACAGTGTGAGACAATGCCACTAAATGGTTTCTGCTGTTGAACCCCCCTTTCTAACCCCGAGGGAACCATCTGCCTTTAAACAAAACTTGCGGTTGTATTCCCATTCTAAGTTAAGACTGAAAAGGTGTGAGCACCTGTAGCCACGAAAGGCTCCGCGTCCACATGCATCACATGATGGCTGACGCATTAAAAACGAGGAGCGTGGAGGATGAAAAGCACCCCCCTACACACAAAAAGGAAAGGTAAAAAAAAGTGATCTTTCCATCACTTATGTAGTTTTGATATATAGTTTTGGCAGATCTGGCAGCAGGGGTGCACGGCTACCTCCAGCTCTTCATCCAGTAGGACTTTGTTGTTGTCCCACATCTAATTAAAAATTAACCAAGACAGGAAGTTGTTCAGGAATCGCCTTTGTGGCCAATTTCCTTCATGGTTATACAAGTGTGTGAACTTTGAACAAAAACATCCACGACTGACTATCTCCTAAATTGCCGCCACCCCCTCCCCTCCTCCTTTTTTGTAGTAAAAATGATCCTCCCGGGAAAAAATATTTGGAGGAAAGCTTGCACAAATATAAGGTTTCTAATAAGCCAGGCTTGTGCAAAGAGAGATTGCTCTTTTTGTTTGAAGAGCAATGACGTTAAGACAATTTACTGCTGGTGAAGATGTGTCCCCCGTAGTCTGGATGGACCTGCACGCAGGAACCACACATTTCTTTGTTTACCTGTAGTTTCCGTATTTCACCACGAAAAGTAAGGCAGCCTGTAGTTCACAACATGTAACTCAGACTGTTTATACAAGGCCTGCAGGAGTATTATCTGTTGTGATGTCACTCATTGGTTTGTGTATCGCAGCCTTGAGTTTGGTAGTTTGGACATCGCCATGTTGGTCTTTTACAACCAGTCAACGGATTGACCATATTTGGACCACAGAAGAGAGATGCCAGGGTAGAAACGGCATCCATAACTCTGAATGGACAATTGTTTACTAAATGATAATCATTCTGCATTGGAGAAGACTTGCAACTTGATATTGAGACCATAAACTCATGTTAACAATGTTTACTGAGGGAATAAATCATAGACTTCCATGTAATATGACTTATTTTGGCAACCACAGAAGTCGCCCCCAGTAGAGAGACTGCAAGTTAAAGGCAGCTGAGATCCAATCGCCTCTCGGACACCTCCTCTACGTTACTGACTGAACGTAAAGGCAGAGACACGGATGCTGGAGGAGGGAGAGCAGCAATTATTTGCTGGCTTCGACGTATGTTTCTGTTTATCCAGGAGTGCCTGTGTACACTCATTAGGCCGGGGCTGAGACAATGGGCCAAGGTGGGAAGGGGGGGGGGTGTCTGTGCTGTTGACACAACTCTCCCCTACTTGGACCCATAGCCATGTCGAGAATGATATCTATTGACTATGGGATAGTGAGGGCTGAAGACTTTTCATCTACAATCTAAGAGCATTCAACAAGCTTAATAAAAATCCAAACCCTATTCGTCATCGGACATAAGGCAAACATTGAGGATAGCCTTTTTGTCTTTTAAAAAGAAAACCTCAAATACGTCATTCCCCTTTTTTCCATGTTTGCCGTATAGGGGGCTCATTGATTGGATCGATAAAATCTTCCGATTTACCCTCTCGCAACACAGAAGTACGGTCTCCATGTTTCCATGTCTGCAAACTTCGGGGACGCCTCACTAGGAGAGGGCAGGGCGACAGAATTATCTTATTTTACGGAGGACATCACTGTCAAAGAGAACAACATAAGGAGCGCTCTGTCAGAATGAGGCAAAACAAAACAAAGGAGGTGGTTGGAGGAGGGTGGCGAAGTGGCTGGTACAATCGCAACACAGGAACTAGACAGTCAGCCTCCGCTGGTATGAGGAAGAGGATGGGGAAGAGGAATGAAACCAATTTAAGGCAGCAGGGGACTACGTCTTTAATCTTGTAATCATTTGGTCATGATTACAGGATAAGGTGGTTTCAGCAGATAGCCACGACAGTCATTATGATACACTGAGGATGTGAACGATGAGGTTAGGGAACTCTCCTTACCTAACTAACCGGCCATCAAACCTGTATTACGGTACTTTGTGTAATTTCTTCCGTCAATGGATTAAGTGTACACCAGCACTTTGTTTTGCTGACTTTAGCCAGCAGTATAGTCTGTTCGGACATCCTGCATTCATTTGGC